CTAATGATTTTTTTTGAAAGCACGTAAAAAATGCAGGTAGAAAAATAGGGATCACTTTGGTGGGAAGGTAACAGCACTCCATGTGCCTTTGGTGTTGAGTCATGCTGGTTACATGACCACGGAGACATCTTCGGACAGCGTTGGCTCTTCGGCTTTGAAATGGAGATAAGCACCGCACCCTAGAGTTGGGAACAACTAGCACATACTGTATGTGCGAGGGGAACCTTTACCTAAATATTATTTATCTTTAAAAAAAATCATTAGTGGTCTGTGGGATTTAAAATTATGGATTTAGTGGTCCCTGGGGTCCGAAAGGTTGGTGTCTCCTGCTATAGGCAACATAACTGAGGGGCACCAAGTTGGGGATCCAGAGTTGGAGATGACACAAGATCTAGATTCAGCCCTGAAATTCTCTGGGTGATGATTAGCTCCCCCCCTTCATACCCAAAAGGACCAATAAGTGGCTAAAATTTAGAGGAGAACTGTTTTAAGTGGATGAAATATTGAACACTCATTTATTCTAGCAGTTAGAAAAGGGAGGACACAAAATATTTTTTCTGAAACTTTATTTTGAGGGTGATAGGTTACAATACCAAGAGAAACCTGGTGAAATTCAAAGAGTTAGCAAGGGAAAGATGATTTCTGGGAAGATGATACAACCAAGGTAAGTTTGTCATGAATTTGCTATATATACAGGACAATATGCAACATGTCTGAGATTAGCATTTTTATTACATTTTGTGATGAAAAATTACAAATGTACAAATACCAATTACAATCACTTAATGTATATAAAAAGATTGAAGTTGAAATTGAAGTTGCAATTATTTGAAAACATATTTATACTAATTACTTGCTGGTTTCTAAAATCAAGGCTTAAGAACAAACTAGCCTATTTTTCTGGACATTTGACAGCCTTAATGATATATTCCTAAAGTATACCATTATTTACTAATTCCCAATCAATTGTTCCTCAATAGAGGATATTGTATAAAAATACAGTAAAATAAAGCATTTGTTTGAAATACTACTGAAGTTATATAATAACTAGAAATTACAAACTCCTTCAATAGAAATCACTTATTAAAGGCAATATCATGCAAATTACAACAAGAATCATTGAATTATCATAAAAAAGATTGATCAGTAATTGAAAGCTTTGGAGAAAGATGCACAATCATTTTTTGGAAAATTGCACTCTACTGATTTCATAAGAAATCTATCAGTGAAATGTTTATCATATTTATTTATTTATTAAATTTATCTAGTGGGTGACTCTTAAGCGGCTATGTATATTTAGGTTGCTTTTCTGTTTGGATTGTAAGAAAGTGAATAGGTTCCAAGCAATGCATAGAGAGAAAGAGGAACTCCAGGAATTGTATATGAACCTTGGGCAAGAGGGAGGAAGGACTGACTGAAATGGAGCCCATGGACCAGATTGAAGCAAGAGCTCCTGCCAGTGGCAAAGCAAATCATTCACAAGGTTTGCGAACCACTGAGATTTGAAGGCCAAAAGTCAGAATTAACCCACTGAACTCCCCAGAACAAATATCATGAGATCAATAAGAGCCAGAACTGATACCAAATGGTGTCCAATATTGGTATTGAAGTGCTCTTAGCTATATAATGTAACTAAGTTTAATTATAGCTCCTTCTCTCTACATTTTTCCTTGTAAATTTATATTTTGTAAAACTGGCTGTTTCTGTATTTTCTAAATTTAAAAGTTTTTTAAAATCTTTTTTTTAATTCCTAAATTTAAACAAATCTGTCTCCAGCCATACCAGTGATGGTTCCTACCAGTTTGGACTGGTTCAGCTGAACTGGTAGTGGTTTAGCAGACTAGGTCGCTGGAACCGGCAGTGACCCAAGCCTGCCACGCCCCTGAACTGGTTCTTCAAGCGGCACCACCTTGATTTTTGCTTCTGTGCATGTACAGAACAATTTTTATTGCACTGCGCATGCGTGCAGCATGCATCAAGCGCATACACATGGTGCACCCATGAGTGAACCGGCAGCAGTGACTGCCAGAACCCAGCCATTTGGATGGCCTATATTACATTATACATAAAGAAATTATGTGATTTTTATTAAACTTCATTGGTCTTGATCCATCTCTTATGAATCAGTTTCATGTTTTTTGTTGGTCAGATGGAGATACCTGCAAAATGCCAACTAAAGCAACGTTTTCATACTTGTTCTGTTAATAAGAACGAAGTCTAGAACAAGGATCCATTCATAGTACATCCAGATTTTGTGGAAAACCCATGTTGGGATAAATAATAGCTTACAAATACCTCCTATATTTTACTGTTTAGGTTAGAACAGCTGTCTTTCCCAACATGGTGCCTCATAATGAGCTCTTCAAATAACAACTCCTTCTACTACACAGTAAGCTCATATGGGTGAGGAATTGCCAGAAGGTTTCATTTAATACATTAGTGTGGCGTCAATTTAAGGGAGGCAATTGTATAGGTTATCGGTTCTACCCCTTTGCTTTTGAAATGTATTGTCCAACTTCTGTCTCTTTGGTACTTTTGAAGGGACAGCACAATGTCTCTTTATCTTGTTATTAAGATTTCACTTCAGGGATATGATTAGTAGGTTGTTCAACAGCATGCTCATTTTTCCATATACAACATGATTTATAATTTTCTATTACTTTGACCTGCAAGTTGGCTTTATCCCGCTTCTGCCAGAGATCGGTGGCAATGTAGATATTGTAGGGATCATTGGAATGTTCCAGCTTTTTGGAGCGGATATAGCTGATCATGACCCCAAAGGTGATGAATCCAAAAAATCCAAGCAGCAGAAGTATAAACACTACTTCCAGATGGTCATTAGAATCATTGAAGGGTAGAGGCTTGGGGTGGTTTTTCTTCTCTACATAGTCTTCTAACAATTTTGAGAGGATCAAGGTTAAGTCTGTGTTGTTGGATGGCAATGCCATTGTGTCATGAGGAATGCAGCTGTTTCTACAAGATCTAGAGAAATTTGAAAAAGGATAGTTAAAAAGAATGCATGCAAATTATAATATCTGTTTAATATTGTCTTCAAACTGAGTTTCTTTTATGAAAATGATAGAAATATAATACAGTTTAAAAAATGAGATTGGTTCTTGAACTGTGTATGCTTCAGATCTTTATTTCATCTAAATGAATCGTGCCAACCGTCCCCCTAAATCAGGGGTGTCAAACTCGCATTGCCTTGTGATATATCGGGACATTTTCCCCCTTCACTAAACCAGGTGGGCCCAGCATGTGACGCATCTGGCCCACGGGCTGTGAGTTTGACACCCCTACCCTAAATATTGCCATTATTTGTAACTAAAAGATATTCCATGTGAAACATTAATGAAGCAATTGATAATATGCTTAGTAGTGGACATGAAATAAATCTGACAACATATATTGTTTTATTCCTCTGTATCTACTGTAGTCTGGTGGTTATTATAATTTTATCATCTATTCATACTTTCATAAGAATGCAATAAACATTTCTCTCATTCATATTTATACACTAAAATTGCTCAGCTTTATTACGTGTTGGATAGAAATTAGTAAAAGAAAAAGGGGAACCAACAATAGAGGGATTGTTATATTCCCTGGCTGGTTAGGCATTTCCTAAATTTTAGTTAAGTTACATGATACCCATTTTGTATTGATGGTTGTATTTGGTTTTAAATTCAAAACAAGACCCTTGTAGGAAGAGATACGAAAGATTAACGCCATTTCCTTTTTATGAATTAACTTTACTGGTATGAAAATTAGAAGCAGGAGAATGAAATTCCTTTATACATTAGGCAGATAATTTGTGCTATAGGGTGATAGTTTTAATGCAGACTAGAGTTCTAGGGAAAATGGACAATGGATTGCTGTGCTGGTTCTACCCTTCATTCCCATCAATGTAATTAATTTCTGTTAAGAGTTGTAGGGATGGTTCTTCATGCAGTTGGGAACCCAAGTCATGCAGAATATCTGATCAAGTCTGATATGATTGTACATCTATTTCCAGGCCCCCTGCTGATAATCCAGGCTTCCAAGTGTTCTTAATTTCCCCAAAATGCGGTGTGTCAAATTTGATGATTACTGAATTAACATACTAACAACCAATAAGAACCACAAAAATTGACCCACAGTATTTCAAAAACATGAAAGTTTTGGGATTTTTTTAAAAAATGAAGATGTTGGTTATGTTTGGTGTCACAGGTGGAATATTGCAGTTGGCCAAGCTGTATAAGTGGAGAAGCCCCTTTTATGAATACAAAGCTATCTAGTATGAAGCATATGAGTGCTGCATAGTTTTGGGTCTTTTTCACATGCTTAGTATATTCTTAGTACACTGCCATTTGTTTATAAAGTGATCATTGTTTTATATTACATTTGTGGAACATTTTGGGTTTTTTTTGTTTTTGTTTATGATACCCTGGAATCATAGGATGAGATAGTGATTAAGAATTATTTTTTACAGAAAAAAATACATTTCAGAATTTTTCGTTTCTTTATTTTTGTGTGACTATTATTCTTTAATTCTTCAGGATGTATTTATCGGAAATTTCCCCTGCACCCTGTCTTATCTTTTCTAGAAAATTATAGTACTAATACAAAATGAATATATCCTACTTCTATATCAGATTTCCAACTATTTGGCCATGTCCCTATCTCAAATAATTGTGGCACAAACATGCACAATAAATATATTTTAATGCCATGACCTCATGATATTACCTATATTACATCCCTACTCCATGACTGACATAGCTTTAAGAATCCTAGACTATCCCAATGTTAAAAAAACCCTCTTATTCCAATCCATCCAAAAGCAGCCTGAAGGGACTGTATATAATACAGCAGACCTAGCCAAAATTACCATAACATGCTGGGAGCTATAGGTGTGAAATTTGGAAGGCCACAGTAGTGCAATTATATGCTGGATGATATTTGTTTGTTGAAAAATGGACTTTTGTTAGTGTAAATAATTGGGCTGGATTCAATTCTGTAACTAATTCTGTCATTGGTTTCAGTTTCTAAAAAAAATTTGATCAAGTCTGCAACATGCATGCCATATGTACAACTGATAGCTTTTGTAGTTCTTGATTGTTTTTTGTACTCTGTGTATATGCGCACGCACACATGTGTGGGTTCATGTGCACATGTGTGTTAAATTGATTAGGTTGGGGGTACTTTCCTGAGGAAGCTTTTTGTGGGACGTTGCAGGAAAATAACAAGAGATCTCAGCTTAGAACAGCCTTCCTTAATTTAGCACGTTTCAAGTGTATTGGGATTATAACCTCTTGAATGTTTGTCTTAGTATGGTCTTTGCCTGAGAAAATTTGTGGGGGTGGGGAGAGAATTATAAACACAACTGGAGAACAAGACTTTGAGGAAGTCAGAAGTACCTAATATCTATGCACTGATCAAATGTAACTGTATCCTTTGCAGATTGTCCATATAATCATTCTTGGGCATATATAATTACAACTGATTAGTGTCAAAGTACTCCATCTTCCTTGGATATTAACAGATTGACTTATTGGACATAATAACTTTTTGGAAAAAGTGATCAGCTTTTCACTGAGCAGGAGGCATGCCACGAAATCTTATTTCTGCCCCCCTTTTTTCAAATAATGCGCAGTATGCTCCTTAAGAGCAGCTGTGGATCTTTACATCAAATGGTATTTAAAAGGATAGGCTATCTACCTACATTGATTAAGAAAATAAAAATAAAAACAAATTCTATATAGTCTTTTTAATATAAGGCTCCAATGTCTACATACAATGTAATCCCCTCTTTCAAAAATACTATTTGTTTCCAAACAAGTGGATTTAATATTGTAAAGAATTACTACACTGGTGTGAACAGTTAGAATTGTTTGCCACATTCTAATTCGCATGTATAATGTGTATTTGCAAAATTATTCATAGCTATTCTACACGTGCACAATATCTGAATTGTAAAATTTCAGGCATGAAGTCAATATTGCATGTTAACTAATATAACAGTGGATGAAAAGTTAAATCCTATAATTTAAAAGTTAAATCCTATAGTTCACCTATAATTTCAAGTGTTGTGATGTTTCAAAGCAAAAATTATTCCCATGCTTCTCTCTTCATCAGAAAATGTATTTACAGTATAAAATGACTTCAGGACAAAATCAATCAATGAATAAAAATAATCAAGCCAATGAAAAGAAGCACAGGAGATGCTAGGCACTGCCTCAGGTGCCCCAACAGAAAACAAGATTTACATTTCTGATTAGCAAGAAGCGAGGGCAGAAGCAAACTGGGAAAACGTGCAAACTCACCGAGTTGTGTGAAGGAGAGAGCCTGCAACCTGGATGCTGTGAGTCAGGCTCACACTCTGAGAATGGCTAGAAAGAAGCCTGAAGTTTGGCTGTTGGGAATCCACCCAGCTTGTACGGCTGTGCCTCCTGGGAGGGACCTAGTGACTGAGCTCACAGCCTCATGCTCTGAGCACACAGGAGGAGAAGGCAGCCTATAACCAGGTGGCAGAACAGCAACACGAGGTAGAGGAAGGTGACACAGACTTCTAGGCAGAGAAGGAATGCTCAGGAACACAAACAAGTAAGGAAATGGGCCATGTGCAGAGAACAGCCTGCTGTTCATGTGGCATCATCAGTCAGATATCCGAATTGCTTTTCGTCATGCTTCTCATTATTTAATTTTACTTTAGTTTTAATCCTACAATGGTTGTCGAGAATCGCTTGTACTCATAGGTTACAAGATAAATTTGTAGTTGTATTGAGATGTGCTGCAAAGAAAATTGGAAGCTGCCTCCTTGTACTGTGTTTCCTTTTATTTTTTCTTTCTATGCTTTTCCTTTTTTCTCCGGCTCCCCCTTTTTTCTTTAATGCTTTTATTCTTTGTTACTTTGTGTTACTTTTTATGTTTTTTGTAAAAAATTAATTAAAAAGTCATTAAAAACTAGATCTCCAGAATTGCAATTTGGTGGGGGGGGGAGCACTTCAATCACTATATAAATCTATCAGTCAATCATCTGTTAACATAAGGGCCAAAATAATTCTGACTTGTATTACCGAACAAATAGGCAGGGGCCATTTAAAAGGCCATTGGTTCAGTTCTTTTTTTTTAAAAAAAGAGAATGACTGGCCCCAAATGACCTGGCCATCTTTCACGTTTAAGGCAGGACTCAAACTTAGGTCTCCCAGTTTCTAGCCTGGTGCCTTAACCATCACTTTGTAGTAATGAGATCCAGGGTAGACCAAGCAACTTTGTATTAAAATAAAAAAAAATCATAGGCTGCCCCCTGACCCCATTGGATGAAATTGCCAGGACCCGCTGCCTATATCTCCATTGGACAGGAGATATAAAAGCATAGCCAGCCAAATGAATTGGCTGAAAAATTGCTTTTTCCCCTGGGCCATCAGACTTCTGAATGGAACATAACCAGGGGTGGTAATCACTTACTTTCCCTACCGGATCACAAATTTGAGCACGTGCCCTGTCTGTGCATGCACTCAGCCTTCCACGCATGCACTTTGGCTTGAAAACATGCCTAAATAGGACAGCATAGAGCCATGGTTTGTGGACAGGCCCATCGCAATTTCCACTACTGGTTCAGGTGAATCAGTCCAGACCAGTTGAATGCCACTTCTGAACATAACACTATAATCAAGTTTAATATGATAATGCACATGCTTGCTTTGCACATGTGCAGAGCAATTTACAATGAACTGCAGACACACAGTCACTAAAAACAAAAATGGTGATGGCCCAATGGCGGTGAGGGAACTGGTTCAGGGGCATGGCAGGCCTGGGTTGCTGCCTGTTCTGCGACAAAGGCCTAAATTCCTCTATCGGTTCACCTGAACCGGGCCAAATCGGGAGCAACCCACCTCTGCTCCAGGTCTATTGGAATTTAGTTCCTAGAATCCCCACCTAGCATTCGTTTATCAGTTCTGAGCTTGGATGAATTCTTTCCTTTTGACTTTATAAAGCAAACTCTCCCATCTTATTTGTCTCTCATTTATCTTTCTGTCTTGTGAAAAACATAAAACAATTACCCCATCTATAATTACCCTGATCAGCTTGGATCATTGGATTCTTGTTGCTAATGGCAGGAAGCTAGCTAATTCCATATTAAAACAGAAACAATCCTATCACATTTTACACTAGAATATTCTGAGTATCTATCCAATTTAATAATTAGCTTGTGGTTCAGGGTGCTGTGCAAATTCTGAACATTGAGTTTATTAAATAAATTGAACCTATCTTGCCTTGGATAAATATATCATGTGAACACTTCCAGTCTGAATAATGATAGTCAACAGACCATGATCAGCTAATCTGTGTTGACTAAATTACTGGTTCTTCCCTAGTATTCCTTGAGAGAAAGAGAGAAAGAGAAAAAGATGAACATGAAGGTATATATTGAAAGGAATGTATGGAGATGTATATTTATGTAGAACAAAATGTTATTTATTATGGGGCAAAGAGATTCATATGAAATAATGATATTTTGCATGGCATCTGAATTTACTCTCTCCAACTGCAAATCATTTAATAAAATCATTTTGGCAACACAATGGGTCTTGCTTCTCCCAGAATGCTTCAGAATTGGGCCTTCTGAGAGCCATGACTCTGAGAACTTTTAAAGAAATTTTTTACATTTTTAAAAACAGGGACTTTTTAAAAAGTTTAAAAGGGGGGGAAGTACAAGCATCCCACGAGACACACTACCTTCTATAATTTTTAATTAAATCCTCAGCTGAAAGCATTGTGTGCAATGGTTTAATCACCTCATTCTATATGCCCAGCTGGCAACAGTTTGTGTCTATTTTTGTGTATTAGACCATGTTCTTTTGTATCCCTTTGATTTTATCTTCAAAACAAATTGCTGGTATTAGTGATTGATTTTGTGGGTAAGGAAGAAAAGGCAGCTATATCCAGTACTGTTTGTGGCATGGACAAAAATGCTTTGCTGGTACACAGTGATACTTTCCAGATACTTACATTTAATATTATATAGTTATTTCCGAAAGAGTTCACAATGAAATCATGACACAACTTAAGTTAAAAATGGAGAGCCTAGAAAGAATCTATTTAAAAGAAGCATTGCAAAAAGAAGGAAAGCCAAGGTGAGAGTGTTATGTCTAGGGGATCCTTATTTTTGTGTACTATAAATATAGTTTATTTGGAAAAAAAAAAGAGTCTTAGTGCTTAACTGGTAACAATGGAATGCTGAGACATCATCTGTATGAAAGTTCTGCTATCTTTGGAAGCAAGATACGGTTGTAGCTGCTTAAGAACAAAAAAAAGTGTTTTCTGCAAATTCAGAGGCAATCTTTTTGTTTATTTAGGTGAAAACTAAATTCAAACATTGGAAATTTGAAACAATACTTAGATGTTTGCTTGTGCATATTTTATGTCTTTTGCTTTCTGGATCTGTGCCTTAGATCTTCCGTTATTTGGCAGTATCTTGGGCAGCCAGTGAGAAATAAAGCAGTGCTTTATCTCTCTTTTACAACCAAGAGTTTTGTCAGCATTTGGTGACCTTCTAGCAAAGGAAAAAGACTCAGTTTCAAAAACAGCTTGAAAAACCAAGCAGGAGTAGATGCTAGAACTATCAACTTCCATCCATGACCATAATAATGTTGGCCATCCACAGCTGAGGTATGCTCATTCTTTGGCCATTAGAGGATCATTTGCAGCGGAGGATCGTCTTGTTGGGACATAGCGGCTTGATGATTCATGGCATGAACACACTGGTGTAGATTTCAGAGCACTGAAATCATATGGACTATAAACATATCTATATTAATGCTGAAATGAATGAGTCAGCACTTGTGTATCTTGAGGTATGGAGGATGAAGGAAAAACACAAACATGTATAGAACTGGTTTATCCAAACAAGCAAGCAGAAGCAAATTTGTACATTTGCCTCAAGCATGTAACTTAAATGAATGCATTTATCAGTGTATGTGATTTTAGAGGTTGAGCCAATACAGACAAGTGGATGTTCCCAGGGTAGAATCTAAATTTGAACTAAAATGAAATCAACTCATTTAGATGCAATGTATACAATTGTTCCCAATAGAAATGATTCCCCCCCCCATCACAACAACAGTTCAGTCTCGTGCTACTTTTGAAAAGACTTACAGAAGCTGGATCCCTAGGTCTTGCCTGTTTTCACAAATAAAACTATAACAAGCTTGTGCTTAATCAACTGAATAACTGCATTTAATTATTTATTACATTTATATCCTGCCTTTCCTCCAGGAGGTCAAGGAGATATAGATAAACTCCCACCTCCATATATTCTAAAACAACCTTATGGGGTAGGTTGAGCTGAGAGAGTTTGGGCTGAGAGAGACTAGCTGAGTCTCTCATACCTAGCACACTTTCATGGCTGAACTTGAGCTTCAAAGCTAAAGATTTCCTAGGTGCTGTTCTCAGGACCAGGAGGAAATTACAAATAATTAACAGCATTGAATAGAAAAAAACTAGAGGCCCAATGTGAGCGATAAGATGATGTTGTAGCACTAATAAATGTATGATTAATATTCACTTACCGGTATCCTAAATCTTTGTGTTTCATAGGCTTAAATATCCACACTGGTTTTTCATATGTATATGAATTTGTACAAAAAATTGATGGGTTGGAATAGAATTAAACCTCTCATTTTACTTTCAGTCTCTACATATTTTTTCAAAAACCAGATTTGCACAACTATTTAATGTGTAAACTCTTTGCTGGCCACGAGCAAGAGTAAATGAGAGAAGATCAAATTAACCCCTTCCTACAACTTGGCATTTCTAAATATATAGGATTCTATGTTGCATGAAGATTATCTATCTATGTTGCATTTGTGCTAATAAATAAATAAAGGGAGACTAATATAGATCTATTTCAAGCTATTTAGTTCTCATCAGCTAGCCATACCCTTACTGGGAATTGAACCTGAACTGTTTTTACATGTTAGGCAGTTGTATTAGCCTCTTAAGCCACAAGCTCCTCCCTTATCAGCTGAGCCAAGGAAATAAGTGAGTGTTATATCAAAGCACCTGGTATGCCCAAATATGGGAGGGAGCATACTGCTTCCCTCCCATATTTGGACATACCAGGTGCTTTGACATAACTATCTATCATCTATCCATCTATCTATCTATCTATCTATCTATCTATCTATCTATCTATCTATCTATCTATCTATCTATCTATCTATCTATCTATCATCTATCTATCTATNATCTATCTATCTATCTATCTATCTATCTATCTATCTATGACATCTATCTATGACATTTTCAGCATCTGATTGAGTTTGATACAGTGCATCATTTTCAGGATCACACAGACAAAATCACATCAAGCAAAAACCATCTTAAGGACCAATTTATATTTTTTTATTTATTTATAACAATATAAGATTGAAAAAAATGTTTCTCCAGGAGTTTGACATTTGCATTTAGATAGCTCTGTAAGTATCATGCAGCCAAAACAAATAAATAACTTCGGATTCCTTTGCTGAACTTGGTTGGAAGATAGTAAAAGCAGGAAATAATTGTAACTGCTTTGCCATTTACTGATTAACTATTTTCTTTCCTGCAAAGTAATACTTCTTCTGATTTCATTGTGTTGATATTATTGTGACTTGTGTACTTATAACCAGGGTCTCTTTGGAGTTAATCAAGGACTTCAGATAAGCTTAGCTGACAATCTCACATGGCTAGCAGAATGCTAATCTTTTCTTTGGGTCCACTTCTCCAGGTAATCTCTTGAAACCTGGTCTTCCACCATCTTTGTGACTATTCACT